TGCTGTTCTCCTCTTTCACCCACTGAACTAAGTTAATAACCCTGAATCATCGGAATTAGGAAAAAGGGAACCCATACCAGCAACTGTGAATCCCTGAAAAGTTTCCTGCTTGTTTTTGTACGCGATTTAAAGCCATGAAGAGTACAGCTATTGCATATAAAAGCAATGTAATAAATTACATTATTTACATATATCGGTGATGCCTGCTTTTGTTAAGTTTAACAGTTTACTAGAAGCACAATTGGAACGCTGCATGTGACAGAACAAAGTACTACAGCACAAGTTGGAACTGAAAAATATGATTTGATTTTTCAGGTGAAAGGCGCTAGATGTAACGTGATTATTTTGTGTCAGCAAGCAGATCAAACATTTTGTAAGATGGAGATGAAACATCGATGGATGCTAGTTGCTTTGGATGATATAGCATTTTGTAAAGAACTGCTTGGAGATGGATGCTAGTTGCTTTGAATGATGTAACATTTTGTAAAGAACTCATTGGGCATGTTAGCTGTGAGGTGTGCAAGCCAGACTTGTGTGTTGTGAAGAATACTGTAATTTGGTGTCTCATGTTACTGTGAGGTGTGCAACCTAGCATGACTATTACATGTACCAATTGGCATGAATGAAATCTAAGCTATGTCATTGTGACTCGATTTTGTGTCTCATGTTGAATGTGACCTTGTATGTTTCATGTCTAAAAGAATACTATAATTTGGTTAATGTGAGATTAATAATGTATTTTTGCGTCATGTGATCTATGCGTTGGATTGTTGGTTGGTATAAATCCCTTTAGCCTTGAACTGTTGGACGGTAAAACTACTATATGCCATCAACCTGTTGGTCGGTATTGCTTCAGCATTTCGTCAGACTATCGGTCGCTAAAAGTACGTCGGTCGCTATAACCCTATCCCGACGCCACTTTCAGCGGCAGCAGTTAAGCGTCGACATAGATCTATACCGACCGATAGTGCGTCGCTGTATCCACCTATAGCGACCAATGGTGCATCGCCATTCTGGGGCTGTGGTGTAGTGATTATAAGTCGATTTGACTTTTTTGGTACATCCATTTTGCTACGTATCTAGATATAATAATATGTCTAGATACATAGTAAAATTGATGAACCAAAAAAGTCAAAGCGACTTATACGGTTTTTCTAAAAATTTGACTGATATCTAGAACTTAAGATGGAGGAAGTGCATATATCACACACATAAAGAGACGAATCTACCCAGCCCTGTGTTCTCTTGGGCGAAACTATGTTTTCTTAACATACAACAACTACCTCTGAAAAAAAAGAGCATCCATGCTTCCGTCTTCGGATACAGAGAGGAAGCTTATGCTAGATACACGATCCATTTTTTCTTTCTTAAAAAAATGTAACATAGATGAAGCCTTTCACATATTTGACAAAATTTGTTTACCCACCTATATAATACTATAAAATCGTGTTAAGTAGTACTATTGCTGTATTTTTCAAGGCCAATATCAATTATGAGTAACTAAACAGAATGTATATGCCCTGTGCCGTCTTATCTTACTGGTGGCCTTTCTTGGGCCTCCCATTTTGCACGACAAGAAAACCGCACCTATGGACGCTTGATGCTTCCAGGTATTACACGTGAGTAACTGTGACTGTACAAATTAGATGCGAATGTGGAACTCAAATCACTGATAGCTACACCTCTCCAAATACCAAATTCCTTGTTCCACTTGCAGAGCACCTAGTAGAGAATATGATGTTCCAAGGATGATGACATGCGTTAGATATCAAGTTCAATTTGTAAATAGTCATTTCCCAACAATAATGTGCACAAATGCAGCTTTATGACAAAATTAAAATAGCTGCGAACTTCTATTATTCATTGACACCCGAGGTATATATGGTTTCTACTTTCTACTCTTTGCAGCTTCCTTAAGTTGGGGTCCATACATTTTATTTTATATCAGTAGCTGTTATCAAAGAAACACGGGACGCACTATACTGCACTACTGTACAAAGTAATCGTTGGGTGGCAATGGCAACCACCCTCACCTTCCAAGAATATCTCAAATGGTACATGGTGGGAATAGTGCACGACTCATATATAGTTTCCCTTTGCAATAAACTGATATCACTTTATATGTGGGGTGTACTAAGCGTCTAAGCACGACTTAATTGGTCACAAGGGGATATATGTGCACTATGTGGTTCAACTCATTTTCCAACAATGTATGCATAAGTGCAGCTTGATGATAAAACTAAAATAGCAGCAAACTTCTATTCATTGACACCCGATGTATGCATGTCTGTTCTACTCTTTGCATCTTCCTTAATTAAGGTTGGGTTCGTATATTATCAATAAACACGACAGTACCCAAACACGTTACTACTACAAAGAAGACTTTGGATGCAATGGCAAGCTACCGTGTCACCTTCAAATAATATATCTAAAATGGTCCATGCATGGGTATGTAGTGCATGATACTTCCCCTTTGCTACAAACTTATACGGGATAAGATAAAGTACAAAGGGCGAAAGTGTCAGTAGCCTATTAGTTATAAGAGTCTCGGTAGCACTTTAAGTTCTGGATTCAACTCTCGTGGGAGTGAATATTTCAAGATTTTATATATATGAGTAGGGGTGAAAACGGTACGGATATTTTTCGACCGTATTCGAGACCGAATCCGTTTAGAGGGATTCAAATCTGTCCGTATCCGAGTCCGGATATTCAACATCCGATACCGTATCCGGATCCGAATACTCAAATCGCATATTTATAATGTCGATATCCAATCATATCCTATCCGGCATGGCTAACACTATCTGTATTCGAATCCGAATCCGAACAGAAATATGAAAACAAATATAATATCAGTGATATTCGTTCGTATCCGATCCGTTTTCATCCCTATATATGAGTAGCTGTTATCAAAGAAACACGGGACGCGCTATACTACACTACTGTATAAAGTAATCGTTGGGTGGCAATGGCAACCACCCTCACCTTCCAATAATATCTCAAATAATGGTACATGGTGGGTACAGTGCACGACTCATATATAGTTTCCCTTTGCAATAAACTGATATCACTTTATATGTGGGGTGTACTAAGCGTCTAAGCATGACTTAATTGGTCACAAGGGGATATATGTGCACGATGTGGTTCAACTCATTTTCCAACAATGTATGCATAAGTGCAGCTTGATGATAAAACTAAAATAGCAGCAAAATTCAATTCATTGACACCCGATGTATACATGTATGTTCTACTCTTTGCATCTTCCTTAATTAAGTTGGGGTTCGTATATTATCAATAAAAACACGACAATACCCTAACACGTTACTACTACAAAGAATACTTTGGATGCAATGGCAAGCTACCGTGTCACCTTCAAATAATATATCTAAAATGGTCCATGCATGGGTATGTAGTGCATGATACTTCCCCTTTATTACAAACTTATACGATCATGGGAATAAGATAAAGTACAAAGGGCGAAAGTCCCTGTAGCCTATTAGTTATAAGAGTCTCGGTAGCACTTTAAGTCTTGGATTCGACTCCCGTGGGAGTGAATATTCCAGGATTTAACGGCGTTGTGCTTTCAATAGTAAGCGACGTTTTCGTCGCAAGCAAGGCACTTGTGGAGACTTCCTCAATCTCGAGGATGCTCATAGAGATAGGGTTTGCGTGAATGCATTCATAGGGGTGAGTGTGCGTGCGTTGTGAGTGTCTGAGTTATATTGTGCAGTAGCAAAAAAAAATAGTAAAAGTACAAAGGGTCCAAACTTATACGATCAACGGATGCGGTTGGAAATGGAAGCCGTCTCTACAAATCTATTTTTAGATATGGATGTACTCTAGGCGCCTCTGGTACATTTCACGCCAAGATTTGCTCTAGTATATTTCCCACCAAAATTCAAACTGTGTTTGTGATTTAATATACATACAGTTGTTCAAACGTCGAAACACACACCACGTTTGGGTGCCAATGTGCTGAAACACGTTCACTTGGATGCACGAGGACGTTTGATAGTACTCCCTTCATACTCACAAATAAAGTTGTTTTGAACAAGGCTTGGGTCAAACATTGAGAATATAAATCATGAATAACTTTTAAATTGTTGAGTTTGGAAATGTGAAAATCATATGAAAAGATTTGTCTTGAAAAATACTTTCATAAAAAATATACATATACCACTTTTTGATAAATAGTTTTATAAAAATAAGGAGTCAAAGTTATACTTTGAAGACCATTTCGCTGTCCAAGACGACTTTATTTTTGAATAATGAGAGAGTATGAGATAATACACGCGTCGATAATAATTTAAGTCAATACACACTAGGAAATCCAGCATCTTGTGTTATATTCCCTATCAAGAGATTTCCTGATCCCAGTGATCCACCAAACCAAACACTTGATATCCATGTATGCTCCATTCCATCCATGCATATCCAACCAACCAAGCACACGCTAAAAGAATTCGACAGGCACACCGTGTCAAGCAGAGAGTTGAAGACCGCCGCCAAAGCTCCCCCGCCGCGACCCAACACGTACTCGCTCGCCCCCTCCCACTCCCAGTCGCTGCGCCTATAAAACCCGCAAGGCACGCGCCCCACATGAAGCCACCAACGCAATAATCTCCGCAAGCCATCCCGGCCCCGAGAGAAACCTCAGTTCTCAGTCAGCATCAGAAGCTAGCTTTTGATCCCACCGGGGAGCGGGGATCGGAAGAAGAGAGGGAGAGGAATGGCAGCCGCGCAGGGGGCCGTGATCGCGTGCCACACCAAGGATGAATTCGACGCCCAAATGGCCAAGGCCTACGAGGCCGGCAAGCTGGTACGTACGCCATCTGTCTCCCTGTAATTTAATTTCCTCGATAATATGCCCGCTGTCATCTGTTCAACGATGAGTTCTTCTTCTTCTTGTTACTAACAATTCTTTCTAGCATTGAGCTTACTAATTTGTCAAACAACAACTAACTAGCCTGTTTCATTTCACCTACCTACCCCTCGATCAGGTGGTGATCGACTTCATGTCCCTCACGTGCGGTCCTTGCCAAGCAATAGCCCCGGTGTTCGAGGAGTGCGCCAAGGAGTACCCTACTAAAGGTGCCTTCCTCAAGGTCGACATTCTCGAACTGGAGGTGAGTATATATACTACGGTGTCGGTTCCAATAGCCAATTATTATAGGTGATTAATTCACCACATCAAGTGCATGCATGCATTCGATTTCGATTCAACCCCATCATCATGCATGTCGTGCTATACTGATGATCATGTGTGTTTCCTTGTTCGACGACGTACAGGAAGTTGCTAGCCGCTACAACATCCAGGGGACGCCGACCTTCTTCTTCATCAAGTACAATGTGACGCTGGAGAGCTTTTTTGGTGCCTATCCGGATAAGCTCCGCAACACCGTCAAGGAGTTCATGGACTATCCTGCGACCTCTGCGTGGTCCGCCTAAGGAGATACTAGCAACAAATTAAATAGCATCATCACCAGTCGTCAATAAAGGCCAACGACGATCGACAAATATGGCGTGGTAGCTACTAGCAGTAGGCACCGCCATTATCGATCAGAGTTTGGTCGTCTAATTAAATAAGTGATTGTGTACTCTTATGTTCAGCTCGGAGTCGATATGTTGGCTCCCGAGCTGGACCGGTAATCCATCTGATGATCGAGTAGGTTAACGACCTTAAGACGTTCAAAAAAATAATATAAAATTTTAGTAGCACAATATGCTTCTAAAATTTTATATTAGTTTTTAGAGTATGTTAACGACCTTAAATATAAAAACTCAAAGCTATAAACACGTAGATATCACTAAGTGCTACAACTTTGATATAAAATATATCTTCATTTGACACCATACGAAAATGATATTATTTTTCTAATGCGACAAGCACTAGTACATAATTATTATGTTGCTGAAATTTTATATTATTTTTTCATGCATTTCAACGATCTTAAATGTAAAAACTCAAAACTATAAAGTTGTAGATCTCATTGAGAGGTACAACTTTCATGTAAAAAATATTTTTATTTTACACCATACAAAAATGATATTATTTTTCTAATACAACAAGCACTTGTACGCGGTTATTATGGTCCTAAAATTTTATATTAATTTTTTTAGAATATTAACCTCGTCAAATCAAAAAACTTAAAACTAAAAATTTGTAGATCTCATCGAGGGCTACAATTTTCATATAAATTTCATCTTCATCCGACATCGTATCAAAGAGTGATGATTTTTTAAAGATTTTATCTTGTCACGTCACTCCCGATGGTGCGACAGAACAGTACTGTCACGCCAACGGGAGTGGCATGACCAGGTTTCCACGTCGAAAACATCATCCAACGTGGCACATCTTGTCTCGCCAATGTATACGGTGCGACATCGTTATTTTGTCACGCCAGGCCCATTGGCGTGACCAGCAAGGTTATATCTGAAAAAAAAATTGATCGGTTATTATTAAAATATTAAAGAAAAATGATTAAAATATAAAAATTCTCCTAGAGTCAGTGGATCCGAACAGCTCGAACCTTAGGGTCGAGTGGTTCGATCCGCCCCTGCCTCTCGTCCGTGTGGCGGCGACTCGGCGAGCCGGCAGAAGTCGCTAGCTGCCCGGCTCGATCTGCGCCGCCACCGCCACAACTCGCTGTTCGGCTCGACTGCACCGCCGCCGCCGTCTCTATCCGAGTAGTTCAACCCATCGCTCTGCGCCACCGGCTAAGAAGTAGCAGCAGGCAGCAGCCGGAGCGAGCGTGCGGGACGGGACCCGTCGCCGTTTCGTCGAGCTGCAAGAAACGGTCGTCTGCACGGACGGCTTCTCCACGTTCCTCTTCTCCGACTCCAACCACAGATCCACCCGTTTCGTCTTCAAGAGTTCCAGGTCACCCCAATCTCTTCTATTGCCCTTGCTATTCCACTGTGACTGCAAGATTCAGTTTTAATTTGGTGATATGTTCTGGCCCCTTGATCTCCGGTACGAAGATATCCGACCACTCACTAGTGTTGCCGAGCACACACCAGACTTGCCGACCACGATCTGTCGTTGGCTACCACACACTATGGTTAGAAATAGAAGACGGGAGGGAGAACAGAGCATACACACACAGCAGAGACACCAGCGTTGGTCGGAGCTCTGTATAGGAGATGGCAAAACTGAACTCTCTCTTTACTGAGTTGCAGTGGCAAACTATATATATAACTATATCCATCTAGTCCTAGTACAACTGCTATGCTACTACAGTGACTAGATGAGACAGCAGGGCTGACTCTGGAGCCTGCCCCTGCTGTGGCTACAGTGCGGCAGGTGAGCCATTCGACGTCTGCCCCTGCAGCGGCTACAGTACCACAGTAGGGAGCCTTTTCGGCACCACCTTCCCCTGTCGTGTGTTCACACAAGAAAGCAGTAGATTATCTAACAATTCTTTCCCTAATCCTACTGCTAACCCTTGAACCCCCTCCATGCCGATCATCTCCTTCAGCTCCTTGAATCGAAGACGGCCAAGCGGCTTGGTGAGGACGTCCGCGAGTTGCCGACCAGTTTCGACGAACTCGATGACGATCTGTCCTCCATCGACACAGTCCCTAAGGAAGTGGAACTTAACGTCGATGTGCTTGCTCCGGCTATGGAGAATCGGATTCTTCGCGAGGGCGATGGCGGGCTAGTTGTCCACTATCAGTGCTGGTGGGTGAGCTTCCACACCAGTCAGCTCGCCCAGCAGCCGGCGTAGCCACACAACTTGCACACCGCTGTGGCCGCTGCTACGTACTCTGCCTCGCACGTAGATAGCGTCACTACCTTCTATTTCAACGACAGCCATGAAATTGGAGCCGACCCGAGGAAGACGAGCACGCCAGAGGTGCTCCGCCGTCCGTCGATGTCTCCCGCCATGTCTGCATCGCTGAACACAGTGAGCTGCAGCCTACTTCCGCCGGTCTTGGGAAATACGATCCCCTGATCCACCGTCCCCTTGATGTAGCGTAGTAGCCACTTCACTGTAGCCCAGTGATCCTCTCGAGGATCCTCCATGAAATGACTGATGTAGCCCACGGCGAACGCAATGTCCGGCCGCGTGTGGACTAGGTAGCGCAGACCGTCGATGATGCTTCGGTAGAGTGTTGCATCTACCTTCGCCGCGGTACTGGCCTTCGTCAGCTTCAGTCGCTCCTCCATCAGAGTCACGCACGGCTTACACTCAGCCATGCTGCTCCGCTCTAGCAGCTTTGAGGCGTACGCGCTCTGACCGAGCGTGAGTGCCTCCTACCCCTATCTCACCTCAATGCCAAGGTAGTAGGAGAGCGTGCCGAGATCGCTCATTCGAAAATGAGCCACCATCTCGCTCTTGAAGCTGTCGATGTCCTCCGCACGCGCGCCGGTGACGATCAAGTCATCCACATACACGCCGATGACAAGCTCTTCCTTCCCTCATCGCCACGTGTAGAGCGCGTGCTTGGTTGCGCACCTCGTGAACCCAAGCTCGCCCAGCGTGGCATCAAGCTTGGTGTTCCACGCTCATGGGGCCTGCTGCAACCCGTATGGGGGCGCCTTGCGCAGTCGGAGCACCCTGTGCTCCGCTCTCTTGACGGCGAAACCTGGAGGTTGTCTGACAAAGACTATCTCCGCCAGCTCGCCGTTGAGGAAGGCCGATTTTATGTCCAGATGATGGACACGCCAGTCCTTTACTGCTGCCAAAGCTAGTAGCAAATGAACAGACTCCATGCGCGCTACCGACGTACAGACTTCCTCGAAGTCGATGCCCTCGCGCTGGACAAAGCCTCGGGCGACACTACACCATAACACCAAGATTAGCGATGTATGGTATGACGCTAAAAGCGGCTATAGCGACAGACAATCTGACGCTAAAAAGTTATAGCGACAGACTTCTGCAGACGGTGTAAGTCCTGTCGCTAAAAATCTTTAGCGTCAGACAGTACTTTTAGCGATAGAAAGTCTACTGCCCTGAATATTTATAGCGACAGAGAGTCCATTGCTAGTATTTAGCGACAGATGCTCTGTTACCAAGCATATACCGACAGACCATCCAATAGCCCATGTATTTGTAGCGACAGATGGTTTAACTGAACAATATAAATATACAAAAAAAATACAATGAGAAAACATGTAGCACATATCACATTCATACCTAGATTCAAGCTTAATATAGTGTCCACATGTCACATGAAGGTACACAAACACATATATATTACATAGATATAGGTCAATACATGTTACATCCAATTTATCTTGTACACCATATGCTTGTGTACATCATCCAGCAAAGTGAAGCACCAAAAGAGTTACATGAGTGCACATCTTTAATCCATGTCTTATCCATGAGTCTTCACAGTGAGCAGATTTCATATTATATTTGTTCACACTACAAAATTTTATAACAAAGAGCAATTAGAAATAAGATCAGCAACTGACAACTAGCATTTGCATTGCTACTTGGCCACAACACCTCTACATTTTTTTATAAAAAATGGCATGGCTTTGCATATGTGACCATATCAAAAAAACTCATGCTTCGATGCGCAAAGACGACAAACTTAGGATACTATCATGCTAGAATAGAAGTTCTGTCATTATTTCGAGTTCAAGGATGAGCAAGCAACACAAGTAGAAAGCAGCAACTATACATAGAAGAATAAATGTGGAAGCCAAGTGCGGTAGAGATGGAACACCCTGCTCCTCTGTGTGCGGTGTACCAAAAACTAAACTGATAGCAGCATGAAAGTTTCCTGCAAGTGACAATTACCTTCACTGTTGCATTCCAAATAAGATAACCGAGTTGCTGGAAGTAACGTGCTGCAGTTTTGAAAATTTAAGAATAGAGCCAAACTCTGTAGTTGCAAAGCTGATCACGGTCGAGAAAGCAAACAGCTACAGCTATTGTTATTAAAGAATAGCTTCTGTTGTTGATATGAATATCAAGGCTGCCAACTGGAACAATTTTGTGCTCACTGCCGGTGAAGCGGTGTTGTGGTGTAGTGTGACGAGGCACGCCTTGTGCTTGACAATGGCCCCATGCTCATCCCGCTTGACTTTGTACACCCACTTCAGACTCATCGGACGGCATCCTGGAGGTGGATCGACGAGCTCCCAAGTCTCGTTTTCCTCGATCGCCTT